TATTTTTGATCAAAATAAGATGTTGCTTTGGCTTTAAGCTTTTATAGATTTTCAAAGTCTTCAAAGGCTACCTAATATTTTGCATTTCACTGTTTAGACTATGAAAAGATTGATGTGCTTTTTAAACACAGAACCTTAGACTGCCAACTTTGAAGGCATTGCTGGAATTGCTAAGAGCTATGCAGTTCCCAGGTTCTAGCAGCTAGTGGTTATTTTTCTTCCATGTCTTTGGGGCTTGATTTGTGAAGACCTCAAATTTCATTTTCCAGAACCAGTTTGTGGCTGTCAGTAAGAGGAGAGGCAGTTTCAATAAGAGAACATTAATATTTACATGAACTTCTTTCTGTCCTCCAGGGTTTAGAATTGAAGGTTTGAATGAGTATAGTAAAGAGATTATAAATTATTGGCAAATAAATCCATTTTCTTTTCCTGGAAAGTGTTTAATGCGATTCCTGTGGGCAGAGAAAGCATGATAAGTCTGTATTTTATATACATTTAGGTATCATCATGCTGTAAGTCATTTATTTTCTAAGGTTTGAAATGGTCAGTCTCAGATGAGACCTTCAGAATATATTGTAGAAGATATGTTTGGCTCAAATCCAGCCATCCTTTCATCCCTAACTTGGAAATTGTGGAGATGTTTAGCCATACACATATTCTTAGCATGTTTAAATGGTGTTTAGGGACTGTGTGGAGGAGAATGTAGATCCAGGACTGATGTGCTTGAAGTTTGTGTGACTTAGTCCCAGGATCACTTTTGAAATGTAGCCACAGAATTAAGTCACTGGGGGGGGGGGAGAATAGAAAAGTAATGCAATTAATCTATCACTAATTGAATTTTACAAGTTTTCTCCAGATACAAAGACTCTGTTGTGAATATCTTATGAATTTTAAGCACTGAGAACATACTGATCTCATCATGTTGTCTTCATTCTTTAGATAAAATGCAAGTTGATATCTTTTTTTTTTTTTTTTTTTGGATTTTCAAGACAGGGTTTCTCTGTGTAGTCTATCCTGACACTCGCTCTGAAGACCAGGATGGCCTTGAACTCACAGAGATCCATCTGCCTCTGCCTCCCAAGTGCTGGGATTAAAGGCATGTGCCACCAACGCCTGGCTGCAAGTTGATATCTTAAAGCACATTTTTCCCCATGTAACTCAGCCTGGCCTCCAACTTGCTTTGTAGCTGAGGATGACCTTTAACTCCTGATCTTCCTAATTTCTTTAAAATTCTGGGATTATAGGTATATGTACCACTCCTGCCTTCGAGAACTTTGCAAAACATGGTTTTTTAATTGAAAAAAAAAAGATGCTTATATTTGTGTTTTTGCCGTACTGAAAACAAATGGGAAAATGCTGTGGAATAATCCCTTTGTATACCGTGAAGATGTGTTGCTCTCATTGTGAATAAAAAGCTGATTGGCCAATGGATAGGCAGGATTGCCAGAGCAGAGAGAATGCTGGGGAAATTAAGGACAAAGTCAGAGAAGAAACTATGAAATGTAGATCAAGCAGAGTGGGAAGTATGTACATGAGGTAAACAAACATTGGGGCTTATTTTAAGTTGTAAGAGCTAGCTAAAAACAAGCCCAAGCTATTTGCTGAGCATTTCTAATTAGTAGTAAGTTTCTGTGTGGTTATTTGGGTAGTGGCTGGCAAGACAGAAAAGTCCTAAATATTCTTTTTATTACTCTTCATATTCAAGTGCTAACAGCATTAGAAAAGTACTCTTCAAACTATTGTCTTTCCTTTTAATATGTGACCCGTAGATCTTTATGTTTTGTTATCTGTTTAACTTAAGTGACAAGAAGGGTGGCAGGACAAGAATTGGAAGGTTCAGTCACTAACACACAATTCTTCTGGCATGTCTGAGAGTTTGCTGACTGGCCTTTGCCATGCTCCCTGAGTGTTTGGGTCCCTGGCACTCCTCCCGCTGTACCTTGTTCTCCTTGTGGTGTGCTATTTCTATTACTGTTTTAGAACCTAACATTTTATTTTCTTTCCTTTTCACTTGCTTGGAAGTAGTCTAGAATCTTTCTGAGGTTGATTGTGTAGCTCTTTTGTTTTCAAAAATTATTTAAAAAGTTCTTTTTTAAAGTTATCTAATGATGGGTTTCAGACTGACACCAGGAACTATGGTCAGGCGCTCTGAAGTCTGATGCTGTAAATTCCTTGTAGGTTTCTGGGAGAAGATTGAGATGGTAGGGCAAAGGTTTAGCAAGCATCTCTGTGTGGATTTTGGTAGGAGCTTAGCTCTTTCCAGAAAGAAGTGCTTGGCTGACTCAAGTGGGAGAAAAAATGAAGCTGGTCTTTCACAAAAAGGGCGGCTGCTCAATAGTTTCATGCAATGATGGAGGAGCTCATGCTTTAAAGTCTCTCAGTTGAAAAAAAAAGTCTCTCAGTTGGCAAGTGGTGTGTTCATAGCAGCACTGAACTACTGGGTTCTCCAGAGCATCTGACCCCAGCTGTACTTACAGTGCAGACCCTGAGTAGATTTGGATTGGAATTCTCTACACTTGTGAGTTCTGTCAAGTCACAAATCTCACTGTGTCTCAGTTTCTTCATCGGCAAAATGAAGATGGTGAGAATAGTATTTACATGTTGTAGGCAGGTCTACCAGTATTGAATTAGGAGGCATAAAAACTGAAAAGGGGGTGTCTGACACATAGTAGATATAGTGTAAATATTAATATTATGGTAATCTTCTGAAGGATTTGAAAGAATAGTAGTAAATGAAGTGGGTTGATTTTTTTTTTTTTTTTTGGCTTTACATCCAAGATTGTAACATGATAGTGGATACATTTTTTCAGCTAAAAAAAAATTTAAGCATGGTTTTTATTGGCAGAGAAATTTACAAAGGAATTTTGTCTTAAATATAATACTGTATTTAATTTATAACCCATGACTATAGGAAAATAGTTTTCCCTCAACCAAAGAAATATTGTTCAACTTCTCGACTGCCAGAATATAAAAACCATAAACAAGTTGTTCAGAATGGAGCTGTGTATGAAATTTGGATTTTTTTTTTTTTGTAATCACATCATAAAGTCTATCTCAGGGCCACTCAGCTGAGTCCATAATGCAAATGCCTGTCATGTTTTAAAACTCTGCTTTATTTCATGATATTATATTTAAAACACTACAAATTAAGTATGCCTGTCTTTTCAAACTAAGAAAATGGTTCTTTCTAGAACCTGATGTGTGCTCATTGACAGAGATGATACTGGAAAGCAGGGGCTTGTTTTGAGACTGTATGGGGCCATCCAAGACACAGCTTTGAGATTTTGCAATTTATTACCATTTTAAAAAGTGGCATTTGTGAGGATGAAATCACTTAACCTTTCCTTTCTTTTGATGATCTCTGTAATAGATATGATCATGATCACAGCCTCATTCTGCCCACTACAGGATGAAGGCCATGCCTAGGTGCTGCCGAGCTTTGAGCATTGCTGTCCTGGGTCAGATGAGGTCACATTGGTTCTCCAAAGGCTCTCTGCTCATCCCTTCATGTATATTGATGGCGGCCCTTGCTGTATCTAGTACCCAGTGGTCTCCATTCTGTCGTAAGTGTAGTGCATCTTCCACATCCTTTGTACATCATCGATCGCTGCTTCTTGTTTCCTTTCACGTTTCTTCTAGCATTTCCCTTCACTCTGGCGTGGCCCTTTCTCTTATTAGATTTCTGTTATCTTCTGGAGATTGCCACCTCCTCTTCCCTTTACCTCCAAGCCATTTGTACTTCAAACCGAGCTAATGCAATTTAGAAGGACTTCTCTACGATCTATCAGTGATCACATTGTATACATGTTTTACATTTGAAATTCAGTCTTGCTAGATGCTCCTATCTGTATTTACAGTTGACATTTTAGAAGAACTATTCATTTTTGTAGCAACTGCAATTTTGAAGGTAGTTTCCAAAAAGCTAGTAGTTTATATAAACAAGCTTCTTTGGAAGGAGCTTTAGAGTCTTAGAAAATTATCTTCACAAGATTAGCGAGTATTTTAAAACAATTTAGTTCTAGAACTGTCTCTTTATCCTATTTATCAACTTCAGGATTTCTTTTTTTTTTTCCTTTTTTGTCTCTTAAGCTCCCTTTTATTCATAGCTTCTACTACTTAATCAGATGTTGCTACTTAGCCAGAAGATACATAATCTTGACATTACAACTACTTAATCAAAAGATAAAATGAATGTGTTATGTGGTTTCTGTAGCCTGTTAAATAATAGCTTTAATATTTAGCATGAAAGCAAAGAGACTCTGAAGAGTTCTGTTCTCCCCATTGTTAAGCCCAATATTCAGCAAAAGTACCATGACTCAGAACTGGAGAGGATGCTGCAAAATGCGTTCTTTCGTGTGTGCATCCATGTGTGCGTGTGTGCGTGTGTGCGTGCATGCATGTATGTATTTGCTTTTAGGTTTGACTACTTTGAAAACAACTCTTTTAGAAACTAGGGTTATGGGAACTGTATTTCACATTTGGCTTCAGTATTTCTTGGGTAGGAGTTGGGTCCCTTTGGAGATCTCAGTCTGTCATTTAGGGAGATGTAGCCAAAGTAAGACACAGCACAGCTTTCTAGTGTGGTATAGGAAGATACCCACTGTACAGCACACAGAAGGTGAGAGGTTGACTGAGCCCTAAACATTGGTATTTGACTAAAATTTAGGGCGTAAATATTCACAATGTTATTTGTGAAACTTAAGAATCTACTTTCAAGGAGAAAGATGGTGAATTCATAACTGTACAAATAATTTCAATCCAGCATGTAAAATGATATTCTTAGAGTTAGATATTTTGGGGTGTATTTGCAAATATAAACTTCTCCAGAGCTTTTGCTTTCTTTAAAGTTGTGTGCTATTTGGTTAAGTACAGAAAGAAACAATCTCTACAGTTCTTTCTTCATCCTAGTTACGTGTGTGTTTATGTGTGTGTGGTGTGTGTGGTGTGTTGTGTATGTGGGGGGGTGGTATGTGTTGTGTGTGTATTGTCACTGGTGATGATAATAAAGGTGATAGCAATCCCAACTTTTTCCCCAGGGTATGGCGGTGTTGCCTCAGTTCATAAATGGGGCATCTCAATCCCAGAGAAGCCAACTAGTTTGACACGCAGAGTGAGTGGCAGCCAAAATTTAGACTTTTCCCCACTGGGTTCTAGTCCTATTTCTCTTTCTTTGTTCTGCCTAGAATGACTAATTAGCATCTCTTATGTCTGTACTTTGGATAACATCACCACCTTTCCTTTTCTTTATAATAATGCTTGGTTATTTATCAAAAAACTGTTATTAAACTAATGAACTGTCTTTAACTTGCTAGATGATAAAACAAAAACAAAAAGAACCCACCTCTGGAACTTGTAGGAACTAGTTTTTTTTATTTTTGGCTGTAGACATTATAGATCTGTTGTTAGCCAACTAATTATCTTAAATGAAAGCAATTTACCTGTGACAAAATCTTTATTGTTTATTACATGTAAACTTGTTATCATTGTGTGACATGCTGCCACTGAACTTGACCACATTCCATCTCCTATGGAAATAGTTATGGTGGAACAGAAGGCAAAGTTGAATATCTTAGCTAACAATATCATGTATATACCATGTACTTATTTCTAGCTTTCTTAAAAAAATGGGGGGTGCGTATTTTGTTGTTGTTACTTACTTTACAAAATAAGCATACCAATGAGAACTCATGGTCATAATACTTATTATATAATTTTATATTTATACTAATGATGCAAATAATATAATGATTTATTAAGTAGTTTTAAGATTATACTGTAAACTTTTAAAAGGAAATTTTTTGCTCTTGAAAAAAATACTTAAAAGAAACTTTATAAAGACAGAATAGAGGCTTTCCTTATATCCCTCACCAAATTACCATGCATTTTTTAAAATTAACTAGGGAAAATTAGTGTTCTGGCTCACTGATGATCTATGTGCCATGCAAAGATTTGCATATATTTAAAAACATTCATATCTAATGACTTAGCTAAAGGGACTGTCATGTGTCTTCTTTTTAGTATTCAGTAGCTGCATAAACTGTAGGAAACTGGATGAAATTTTTCTTGTCTTAAACACAAGTAATATAATGATGTATTCTTTTTAAAAAATCAGTCTGCTATTTGATATTTTGTATATATATTTATACATACAAATTCAGCTGAAATTTATCATGCATTGATAATTTTAGTTTTTAAAAGTTCAGTTGATTACTCTTTTCCCCAAGCCTTCTGAATTTTGATGATGTAGTTATTGTCTCTGGTTCTACCACTCAAGAATAATAATTAGACCTTGAATACATAGACTTGCATTGAAAATCCAATATGGAAGACTTGTCTTGCATATTTCTATTTAAGCTAGGGAAGACCATAAAAACTTATATTCAAGGTGCATAAAAGTATTAAATGCTTTCAGCCTTTGCATGACTATGCTATTTGAAAGTTAGCATTCATGTGACAACTTTATTATTTTCTTAAAGTTTTAAAATCTGAAAAGATATCAAACATGGCCTTTAAAATAGAACTTTGTTTCCAATTCTGGACAAAACATGAACCAAATTCTGTTTGATCAGCTGAATGCCGACAAATCCATTCCAATACCCCCTGGCTTCCATATTCGTCAGTTCCATACGAGATACTGTATAAGAAAGTTTTAAAACGCAATGGGAAGTTAAAGAAAAAATTAACTGTGAGAACTAGTTAGCCATAGAATAGGACTTAGTATTTTGTCTATTGTAATAGAATCAGAGCTCTGTATAAATTATATTACCACATGATTGATTTTGCACTACAAATTTGACTTTTGATAGGAAAGGCACCAACTATAATCTCCTTTCACAACACAAAGTGTACCTGTAGAAATCATCACTATGAGAAAGTTGCGGAAAGCCTGTTCCCAGACCTCATACTGTATGAAGTAAAGTTGCTTTGGATTTGAGCACATGAGGAATTTGGACCAATGACCTTCTGTTTTCCTTGGGCTCTGATGACTAGCCTTGCTATTTTTGTGCATTTTCTTGAAGTGGAACAGTCAACCTTTTAAAATTGCGTTTTTGTAATGAAGCCAAGAGGAGGAGTTGCTTGCTTGGCTCTGCATAAGGACGTGGCAATACTGATGGCACTCTCCCCTTCTCTCCACCCTCTCCCATCGTTTTCATAGATGCACATCGGGAATTCCTTCACAGGCCTGCGTCTGGATATGTGCCAGAGGAGATCTGGAAGAAAGCTGGTAAGAACTGTTTAGAAACACTAGATTCGTGTTCTGGCAGCTGTGTGCAGCTGTGAATGCTGCGTTGTGAGGAATGACAAGAAAGGACTTCACTGCGAACAACAACAATAGCAAAAGCAAAGCAAAACAAAGTGAAAACCACAAAACAAAACAAACTAAAAGAAAAAATCCCTCATTAATATTCTTAAACCAGGCCTGATTAAAACATGAAATAGTTTTTATTTTCATAGCATCTGCTAGTGCCATTATAATTGAAAGGCTGGCAATATTTCTTTTATAGCCCCTCCCCCCCTTTTGTAGCATCTGTAATGGCTTCAGAGTGAAATTTTGGCACAGGAGGTCTTAGCTTGCATGCAGTTCTTCTTTGATGAGGAAAGAAATCCAGTGTTCGAGGAATTAAATTACATATATCAGCATTTTTCTCTGCATTCTTAAATTGGACCAATTCTAGTGAACTTGTTAAGGAACTTTGCAAGAAATATTATTTTTTGTTACAGTCTAGTTTTAAAATCACTCTCCTGTGGTGTTTAATATTAAATCATCAGAGCTAAGTTACTTTTTCAGATGAGCAACAGAGTAGCTGGGTCTTGAATTTCTGCACACACTATTCATTCACTCCCATTATTATCTGTTACTGTATATTCTGTGGTAAATTGGAAGCCTCCTGGGACCACTGACTTGGTATTGGCCTTAAAGTTCAGAGCTGGCAGACTGTGGAGCATTGGCTAAGCATGAAACCCGTAAAGCTGAACTTGAGAGGTAAAAGATAAGCCTCCTCATGGGCTGAGGATGACACAAAGAAGAAATG